GTTATGCAACCAAGGGAATGCGGCTTCTACACATATAAGAAATGATAATTTTTTGGTTCTCACTTGTTCAAAAAGAATGAGTGTGACTTCTATTAGGGATGCGGCTTCTAATACAGCTATCTCAATAACAATATTTTACTGTTATAAATCTTTCTGTTTGCCCAGTAACTTTAAGAATTACAATATATATATATATATATAAATATATACACACTGGTACCGTATTAGTTCTGTTAGTGGCACACACTTCTAACTTAAATTACAGAGATGTTTCTATGGTCAAAATAAGTACTAATAATATTTTAATGATTCAGTATACTACAAATGTAATTTTTAGTTTACACACGTTTCTATTGGAGATGCACTTTGTATCACGGATTTTTAAGATAAAGTTATCGGTATGTAGCTTTGATATCAATGTATCATATGGTATTTCTAACAACACAGGATATTGAGGACATATTTGTATTGAGATCGTCATCGCATATCATCATATTAGTTGCATACCCTAATTTTATAAATCCTTGACACATATATGAAATGTGAAAACAATTCCTGCTCGAGTCTTCTCTAATAGCAGCACATCTTCTATACTGAAGCAGAGATCACATCAATGAAAAAACTACCTTTATTTTATACCGAATCATTAAAATATTTTGCCCATGTATAGATGCACTATATAAAATATGGTACTGTTAATGCATACTCACCCTGGTAGAGATTAAAATCAGCATAATATTCCAGAATCATATGAAAAAAAAAAAAAGTATGCTATAATAAATCTGTTAACGAGTATACTACACTACAGAGAGGTTACCAACAAACAGTCTAGTGACCCTTAGTTTTCCTCAGTTTTGAAGTACAGTGACCCCTCGCTAAGTCACAGGTGTCGACATCTAAGCAAAAATTCAACATAGGGGGTTGCATCTTACCGAGAAGCCTTGTGAAAGGGGTTCATGGATAAAAAGCACATAACGCAGCCCATTCTTGAAGCAACCATACGTAAACAGCTTTATCGATGTCATCATTGTTGGATAATTTTTGTCCAGTCTGTCTCTTGGTAAACTTTGAAAACAAATTTTCTCAGCTTCTCTTCATTTTTTACTCACCCACAAATAGTGGACTCATCGACTGCTGGATAGCTTTCGCTTAGACATGCTACTCAGACAGAACTAGAGATCAAAGTGATAGATTCAACTCATTGTAGCAAGTTTTAAATAGCTATATCAAAGGGGAACCAGTTGAGATGTAAGGTCGCGACACCTGTCGTCATCTTTGTATCTCAGTAATTGACCTACAAAAGGTGTAAAGTTGTTTTCCTGGCCAATTAAATACACGATGCAATGAAACATTGGTTTTTTCAACTTCCAAACTACAAGCAAAACAGCATTTTTTAGAGCCATTCAACCACCTGCGACTAAGCCGAGGCATGACTTAGCAAGGAGTCACTGTACTTAGTATGTGCACAGTCCCTCTATCTGTGGTATGTGTCACAAAGATCCGGTCACCTCACATGTGGTGAATTGTATGGGGAGGGGGGAGGGGGTTGTCTTATCTCTAAACAAAAGTGACCTACGAGTATACCCCGGACTTGCATCTAGCCCTGGAGCCACGGAGTTGTCAGGGTGAGCGTAATCCGGTCGTCCACTGCCCACTGTTTGAGTTAGCAGCCGAAAAAACGCCCCCTCCGACAAAGCCGTAGATCCAGACTATACTATTGTGACTGTGTGCACAGCCACCATTCAGCGGGCCAAAACTCGAAATACACTGGCCACCTGGATTTTCACAAAGAATGCAACTCAAGATTAGTCAGTTAATCGCGGCAATGTTAAGTCACATGTGTTAAATAAACCAACACGTATACCTACTTTTTATAATCACTTTCATCGCACGCCAAAATGAAGCAGCCAGTGAAAAAAGATTTCTTCGAATGAACCGCCCACAAATTACCATAAACTACGACTGGTTCTGAATATCTCCCTTATGCGTGATTGGAGAAAGAGTAGTAGCCGTTGAGCATCCTGGGTAAAGTGATCTGCCGCAACTCCTGGTAAACAAAATGGCAGCCCCCATGCGATCGTTTTCTCGTTTTCCAATCTGGTTTTGGTAGTGCTTATTATTACTGTAACCACATTCTCTGGTAGAAGGACTATTCTGTAACTCACAGTCAGCACGTATGAATTGTAATTGTGTATCCAAAACAACTATATGTATTTGAATTAGCAGTGTTGTTCTTAAAAAAACACACCGAAAGAAGTGTCTTTCAAACAACGATCTGTTTTGATTCATCCACATGACCTCTGACTTCTGCCCGAAACGAGGGCAATTGAGCTGTTACGTTGGTCGCCAGTTCGCTTGCAACTGACCCATTGTCACTATTTGTATCTGATTTAGCTGTTAAGATCGACATTCACAATTACGTGAAGGTAAGATATTGGGAGAGTTTCATACTTCTAATAGCCTATTAAAGTACATTGAAATTTCTTAAAATCTACTATCGATATTCGCCATGAACGTTGTTGTTGTATACAAAGATAAATGTTGTGAAAATCTCCTGTTTGGGAGAAATTCTTCCAAAATGTTGTCAAAAATGAAGAAGCACTAGCTGAAAGGGGTGACTATAAGAAACTCGGAGTGAGGTTAGATTGGAAAAAAAAAAACTGCAAGGAAAATGACAGAAAAAGGGACAAATACATAACAATTTTAACATAAATTTATTTTTCTCTATAGATCCAGAAATCATTCCCGAAAAGGCTGATCACTGTTGGCCTGCAATCTTTGACTGAACAGTGCGTCATGGCAAATGCATTCCCACTGAAAAATTACCCAAACCAGATTATATTTGATGGAAAGGCAAAGAAATCATTTCGTGAATATGGTTGTTTCAATGCTGTGGATGTTTCATCTGATCACCAAGCTGGAGGTATCAGTGAAAGTTCAGAATTTACTTTCCAAAAGTTCCATGGGAAGCATGGTACAGTGAAGGATTTTTATGCCGTCGATCCCAGTATTCCGTTGCTGCCACCGCATGGTTAGTAAAAAAAGCATTTTTTGCACCAATACATTCATCAGGGATTTTTTTTTAAACAAGGAAACAGGGTTGCCTGCGCCCTCATGCCATGGCCATGCGCCCCCTACCCTGGGGAGCAGGTCATCTGACAACCATAAAATTCTGATTGACCAGGGATCACATGTGGCCACAGTCTTCAGCTGTGACCTGTCTGATAGTAATTTTCGCCCCAAGGAAGCTATAGAATGCTCCATTTTAACCTAGAATTATCAAAAACTTCACACCCTGGTAGGGA